GGAAAGACAAACAAACACAGAAAGACACAGGGAAAGCAAGTTAAAGAAAACGTGGGAAAATATTCAGATTTCAACACAATATTAATTTGTTAGTTGCGACCAAATATAAGGTCGTTATATACCATCTGGCTAATACCAGCTGAAGCCCTAAGCTACGGTCACCTGTTACCAAGTATTCTTTAAATCTAATAAATGTAGATGTAGCCTACACCCCGCAGTTAACTTTGTGTTTGCAAGTAATTTATAATTTTACCCAGGCTGTGTACTGGGGACATTGAGTTGACCAATAATTATCTGACCTGTTTATTTAGTTTACTAGCCGGCTGTACATCCTTGCTAAGACAAGTGGTCATCAGACTTGACTATTTGTATTGTTACCACTTGCTGTTACTAGCTATTACAATTTTGTTACGAGCTTATCCTGTATGTGACTCAGCTGACGTAGCAGTAGATAACTTCTAATGAACTTGTTTGACACTTAGCTGACGTAGCAGTAGATAACTTCTAATTAACTTGTTTGACATTTAGCTGACGTAGCAGTAGATAACTTCTAATGAACTTGTTTAACACTTAGCTGACGTAGCAGTAGATAACTTCTAATGAACTTGTTTGACACTTAGCTGACGTAGCAGTAGATAACTTCTAATGAACTTGTTTGACACTTAGCTGACGTAGCAGTAGATAACTTCTAATTAACTTGTTTGACACTTAGCTGACGTAGCAGTAGATAACTTCTAATGAACTTGTTTGACACTTAGCTGACGTAGCAGTAGATAACTTCTAATTAACTTGTTTGACACTTAGCTGACGTAGCAGTAGATAACTTCTAATTAACTTGTTTGACACTTAGCTGACGTAGCAGTAGATAACTTCTAATGAACTTGTTTGACACTTAGCTGACGTAGCAGTAGATAACTTCTAATTAACTTGTTTGACACTTAGCTGACGTAGCAGTAGATAACTTCTAATTAACTTGTTTGACACTTAGCTGACGTAGCAGTAGATAACTTCTAGTTAACTTGTTTGACACTTAGCTGACGTAGCAGTAGATAACTTCTAATTAACTTGTTTGACACTTAGCTGACGTAGCAGTAGATAACTTCTAATTAACTTGTTTGACACTTAGATGACGTAGCAGTAGATAACTTCTAATTAACTTGTTTGACACTTAGCTGACGTAGCAGTAGATAACTTCTAATTAACTTGTTTGACACTTAGCTGACGTAGCAGTAGATAACTTCTAATTAACTTGTTTGACACTTAGCTGACGTAGCAGTAGATAACTTCTAATTAACTTGTTTGACACTTAGCTGACGTAGCAGTAGATAACTTCTAATTAACTTGTTTGACACTTAGCTGACGTAGCAGTAGATAACTTCTAATTAACTTGTTTGACACTTAGCTGACGTAGCAGTAGATAACTTCTAATTAACTTGTTTGACACTTAGCTGACGTAGCAGTAGATAACTTCTAATTAACTTGTTTGACACTTAGCTGACGTAGCAGTAGATAACTTCTAATTAACTTGTTTGACACTTAGCTGACGTAGCAGTAGATAACTTCTAATTAACTTGTTTGACACTTAGCTGACGTAGCAGTAGATAACTTCTAATTAACTTGTTTGACGCTTAGCTGACGTAGCAGTAGATAACTTCTAATTAACTTGTTTGACACTTAGCTGACGTAGCAGTAGATAACTTCTAATTAACTTGTTTGACACTTAGCTGACGTAGCAGTAGATAACTTCTAATTAACTTGTTTGACGCTTAGCTGACGTAGCAGTAGATAACTTCTAATTAACTTGTTTGACACTTAGCTGACGTAGCAGTAGATAACTTCTAATTAACTTGTTTGACACTTAGCTGACGTAGCAGTAGATAACTTCTAATTAACTTGTTTAACACTTAGCTGACGTAGCAGTAGATAACTTCTAATTAACTTGTTTGACATTTAGCTGACGTAGCAGTAGATAACTTCTAATTAACTTGTTTGACATTTAGCTGACGTAGCAGTAGATAACTTCTAATTAACTTGTTTGACATTTAGCTGACGTAGCAGTAGATAACTTCTAATTAACTTGTTTAACACTTAGCTGACGTAGCAGTAGATAACTTCTAATGAACTTGTTTGACACTTAGCTGACGTAGCAGTAGATAACTTCTAATGAACTTGTTTGACACTTAGCTGACGTAGCAGTAGATAACTTCTAATGAACTTGTTTGACACTTAGCTGACGTAGCAGTAGATAACTTCTAATGAACTTGTTTGACACTTAGCTGACGTAGCAGTAGATAACTTCTAATGAACTTGTTTGACACTTAGCTGACGTAGCAGTAGATAACTTCTAATTAACTTGTTTGACATTTAGCTGACGTAGCAGTAGATAACTTCTAATTAACTTGTTTAACACTTAGCTGACGTAGCAGTAGATAACTTCTAATTAACTTGTTTGACACTTAGCTGACGTAGCAGTAGATAACTTCTAATTAACTTGTTTGACGCTTAGCTGACGTAGCAGTAGATAACTTCTAATTAACTTGTTTGACACTTAGCTGACGTAGCAGTAGATAACTTCTAATTAACTTGTTTGACACTTAGCTGACGTAGCAGTAGATAACTTCTAATTAACTTGTTTAACACTTAGCTGACGTAGCAGTAGATAACTTCTAATTAACTTGTTTGACATTTAGCTGACGTAGCAGTAGATAACTTCTAATTAACTTGTTTGACATTTAGCTGACGTAGCAGTAGATAACTTCTAATTAACTTGTTTAACACTTAGCTGACGTAGCAGTAGATAACTTCTAATTAACTTGTTTAACACTTAGCTGACGTAGCAGTAGATAACTTCTAATTAACTTGTTTGACATTTAGCTGACGTAGCAGTAGATAACTTCTAATTAACTTGTTTAACACTTAGCTGACGTAGCAGTAGATAACTTCTAATTAACTTGTTTGACACTTAGCTGACGTAGCAGTAGATAACTTCTAATTAACTTGTTTGACACTTAGCTGACGTAGCAGTAGATAACTTCTAATTAACTTGTTTGACACTTAGCTGACGTAGCAGTAGATAACTTCTAATTAACTTGTTTGACACTTAGCTGACGTAGCAGTAGATAACTTCTAATTAACTTGTTTGACACTTAGCTGACGTAGCAGTAGATAACTTCTAATTAACTTGTTTGGCACTTAGCTGACGTAGCAGTAGATAACTTCTAATTAACTTGTTTGACACTTAGCTGACGTAGCAGTAGATAACTTCTAATTAACTTGTTTGACACTTAGCTGACGTAGCAGTAGATAACTTCTAATTAACTTGTTTGACACTTAGCTGACGTAGCAGTAGATAACTTCTAATTAACTTGTTTGACACTTAGCTGACGTAGCAGTAGATAACTTCTAATTAACTTGTTTGACACTTAGCTGACGTAGCAGTAGATAACTTCTAATTAACTTGTTTGACGCTTAGCTGACGTAGCAGTAGATAACTTCTAATTAACTTGTTTGACACTTAGCTGACGTAGCAGTAGATAACTTCTAATTAACTTGTTTGACACTTAGCTGACGTAGCAGTAGATAACTTCTAATTAACTTGTTTAACACTTAGCTGACGTAGCAGTAGATAACTTCTAATTAACTTGTTTGACATTTAGCTGACGTAGCAGTAGATAACTTCTAATTAACTTGTTTGACATTTAGCTGACGTAGCAGTAGATAACTTCTAATTAACTTGTTTGACACTTAGCTGACGTAGCAGTAGATAACTTCTAATTAACTTGTTTAACACTTAGCTGACGTAGCAGTAGATAACTTCTAATTAACTTGTTTGACATTTAGCTGACGTAGCAGTAGATAACTTCTAATTAACTTGTTTAACTTACTTTAATTCCTGTAGGAAGTGGCGCTGATCCCCCTACCGGTGAATGCTATTATGGCTATGTTATTATATTCAACGTTATACAATTATGTATGCACCGTTGATAGAGTGGCGTTGTGTGAGGTTTGTGTGTGAGAGGTGTGTGGTGTGTGTGTGAAGTGTGTTTGTGTGAGAGAGAGAGAGGTTTGTGGTGTGTGAGAGAGAAAGATGACATTAACGACCATCGATCCCTTGGCTCCTGCAAATGTCCACACAATGTCCAGCGCCGAGGTCAACAACGTCCAGATTGATATGGTCACTTCTGGTTGTACCCACATGTCACATGACGTTTTGTATTCAGTGTATTGCTTGCTACATCACCTTCTGTCGTTTAAACGTTCACCATTCTGTAGTTGAGATGTTTCGATGCTGTAATAAAAAAAATTCTGGCAGTCAACATACGTCTCTCATATGTTTACACCTGTCTCATAATATGTTTACAGCTGTCTCACATGCTATGTTTACATCTGTCTCATAATATGTTTACAGCTGAAAGTTTTAACAACAACCATCTTTCTATCTCGCGTCACTATGCCAGTAGTGATCATTGATCAGAAAGGGGGTGGGTGGGGTTAATAGCTGATGACGTCACAAGTAATCATCATCACAAATAGTATACATTACATCGACACTATAAAATATATACTGAAACTTATATCCAAATTATACAGTTCGCAAGCGACTATTCTTAGTAATCATCTCAACTTAAATTAAGGTTATTTTAAATAATCAAAAGGTAACAAAGAATTTTGAAATGTCATTTTTAAAATTATACCATATAATTGTTGACTATTTCATTTAAACGTCGAGTGTTTAAAATTCTAAATTCCAAACTCAAGTATGGTACACAAATGATAGACGTTTTATAGATTTAATATCAAAGCTGCAGACTTTTTGCACAAAGCGTTAGGTGGCGGTCTCTTTGCTGTCTGTCGAGTTGACTATATGTCAACGTGTCTATCTTCCAATGTGTCTGTCTGTGAAGTTGACCGTCTGTCAACATGATTGACAGTTGGCCAGAGTACCAAGTACATCTGTAAACAGCTCCAGTTCGACTGGGCCGAGCTACGTCCCGATCAGGATGACGACAGACAGAGCTGCTGGGTTGATGGACGCTGACTCCTACCATCATGTAGCCGTCATCTGTTTTGTCGTCAACATCATCTTATGTCCCCTAGGCATCGTCTTCAACATCATCAACATCGTCGTTTTCTGTAAACTTGGCTTTAAAGAGAGCACCAACATTATCCTGGTCAGTCTGGCTGTGGTGGACACCTACACTCTGCTGACGTATCTAGGTATTTCCGTGACCTTGTATGTGGGCGTCACTTCAGAGCATCTGGATATCCTCGACGCCGTCACTCTCATTGTTCTAGGTTGGCCCAACGTTTTGGCAACCCGAATAGCGGGTTGTCTGACAACCTACCTGACCTTTGAAAGGTTTCTGTGTGTGGTCCTACCACTGAGGGTCAAGACAATCTTACATAAGAAAACGGCCTTGACATTTATCATAGCGCTGTGTATGCTCACGATCGCTTATTCGTTTCCAATTTATCTGGCCAACAGCATCGGTCTGAGGTTCAACCCCATGTCAAACCAAACCTCTGTTGGACTTATCGTGGCGGAGAACAGCGACGTCCTAGAGGGCGTGTCTATTAGTGTAAATGTTATCATCGAGATGACGTCATTTATCCTAGTTATTTGCTTAACTATTGGTCTACTTTCTGCTTATTTAAATGCGATAAAAAGGCGCCAAAATATTTCTGCTGTTGTTAAAACTAGCCAGTTTTCGAGCCGTGACCGGAATGTGGTTAAAATGGTTCTGTTAATTTCCATCGTTTTCATTGGCTGTTCTCTACCTACTGTTATTGTTGATGTCGCCGTTCTATTGGCCAAAGATTATAATGTCAAAGGTCGGGAAAGGTTTCTATTTTTAACAACAGCCGCCATATCTTTTATCTTCATTTGCCTGAACTCCACAGTGAGTTTGTTTATTTACTTTAACATGAGTACTAAATTTAGAAACATTTTCGCGAAAATATTTTCTCGTGTTAACGAACAATGTAGTACGAATGGTAAACAAACAGACAAAAACTTATACTGATGGCATTGGGTAACAACCAGCAAGGTGAACAGCCAGTTCGCGAACTGGCCGAGTCGTGTGGCCAATATCCGTTGAGACAGTGTATTTCTGACTTCGCTAACTGGCTGGGCCAATATACGATGACTATTTCAATGTAATGTTTAACTATCGTGATGTCTTGTCTGCCAAAATTGAAAAATTCTACTATTAAAAATATGATTCGTACAAACGAGAAAATGTATTGCTTAGTTCTATTACATATTCTAGCTTTCGTGTTATCTATTCTAAGTGGTGTTGTTTGTTTTGTTTTTGTTTTTTTTTTGTCTACAAAAATAAACGAAGAAAACAACGTTCTCGAGGGCGTGTCTATGTGTGTGTATGTTTGTTTCTGTGTGTGTTTGTATGTTTGTTTCTGTGTGTGTAACTGTGAAAGGGTTTACTTTAAGGTTGATTGCTTTTTCTTTATTTCGAAAAGAAATTTTGAGACACACGAAGTCTGTATGTAAAAGACAAACATTAATTTTCTATATCTTGAAATCTTGAAAATTATTTTATCTTGGCAAACAATACAATATCTAAGCTATCTATTTCAATCATTGTTATTTTCAAAAGTTCATTAATATCCTTTTTGCAATTAAAAATTGTAAAGTGTTAGCATAATCAACATTTATATTTTAGGTTTTTTAGCTGCTAAAACGAAAATGTACAGCAACAGTAAATAATAATGAAGGTGAATTCGTTGTAAAGCGTGGGTCAAGCCATCTTTTTAAAGTGTGGGTCAAGCCATCTTTTAAAGTGCGGGTCAAGCCATCTTTTAAAGTGTGGGTCAAGCCATCTTTTTAAAGTGTGGGTCAAGCCATCTTTTAAAGTGTGGGTCAAGCCATCTTTTAAAGTGTGGGTCATGCCATCTTTTAAAGTGTGGGTCAAGCCATCTTTTAAAGTGTGGGTCAAGCCATCTTTTAAAGTGTGGGTCAAGCCATCTTTTTAAAGTGTGGGTCAAGCCATCTTTTTAAAGTGTGGGTCATGCCATCTTTTAAAGAGTGGCGTTTATAAAATTAAAAAAAGTTTGGCCTGCACCACTTTTTACTTTCTCGTATAAGAAGTATAGAGAAAGCATTGTAATCGTGCAACAAAAAAAATCGAGATTTTTAACTAATCTCGACGTTTAACACATCCAAGAGTCGGAAAAACATAGTTTTGCAATTTTGTCCGTATGTATGTGTGTGCGTATGTGTGTGTGTATGTATCTGTGTCTGTGAACACGCTAACTTGAGTACCGCTACAGCTAGGTTGATGAAATTTCATATGTAAATATTTCACATTTGTAGATCGGTATCAACTTTTCAGCGATTTCCGGTAACCGGAAGTGGAACTTATTCTACTTTCATTTTTTTTAAAAAGCCTATAACTTGAGTACTATTTGAGATAAATAAATGACATTTCACATGTAAGTAAAAGATTTAATTCTCTGCCTTCTTTCAAATTTTTAGTAATTTCCGTTTACCGGAAGTAGAAATTTACGCTGTTTCTGATTTCTCAAAAAATGCATGTGAATTTATAAAGTACTAATAATATTCCTCACTATTATACACATTTTGTTTGGCATTCACTTGGTGCGCAATTCTTTTTTTTTCTACGAGATTCTTTTCCATTTTAAAAAAGTTTAAGTAATTAAAAATCATGTCTATACCCCGAGTTGCCATAGCCAGTTTTTTTTTATATAAGAATATTCAAGAAAGTTTAGGGGAGATGACTCCCAGTTTATTTTACAAGCTTTAATTTAACTTGCTTCCTATGTCTGTCGACAGTCTGTCTGTCTAGACCAAAACGCCTGAGCGAAATTTCGGGCCCTTCTAACTGATAGATTTCTTCAAAGTTGGCAAGTGGGTCAAGACTTGAAGACAATGCAATCTAACATTAAATTTGACTTAATTGGATGCCTAATTAATTTTTTTATGAATGAAGTAAAATTGTTTCCGAATTAGTAGGCTGTCTTATCCAACTATTCCGCGCTATCATACACGCGTTATCACGTTCATTAGTTTTATTCATGCAACTCTATTGTCAATTTAAAAAAAATTAAAGTACGGAATTTTTTCTTCATAAAAACGTTTTAATAACAAGTTTTTGTGTAATAATGCACTAAAAAGTAGAAGATAAATAATTTTCTTTAAATATTTATAATACAGTACGATTTAAATAACTATAAAGAAAAGCTTGTGTCTCTTCCTAAATATTGTAAAGGTATCCAATAGATTATAAAATGACCCAAGCTTTTCTTTATAGTTATTTAAATAGTTTATATTATTATACATTTACAGAAATGTATTTAGTTTTTACTTTTTAGTGCATTATTACATAAAAGCTTGTTTTAAAAACGTTTTTATGAATTTTTTTCGTAAAATGGTGGCAACATAAAAATTACAGGACAAAATCTCTCAGGACTAAATGTCTCAAGATAAATTATTATGTAAGGAAAAGTTAACCGACCACAAATGACACCAAAACAAATTATCTAGCTACCAAAGCTATCAAAAGTCAATATCTCTAAGACAAAATGTCTTACAACAAAATATCTGAGTGACAAAATGTCAAAATATCTCAAGACTACACCCACTACATCTACTCCCTTATGAAGGTTTGACTTTTCCCACGTGTTCTGGTCACGTGACTTGACTCATTGTTGGTCACTTCCCTTCTGGTCAGGTCATTCAGAGGACTAAAGAGTTATCTGACCTAGATGTAATGTTTTCAACTGTTCTTCATAACACCTACCTAGTCCTAACTACATAGCACTGGAAAATAATTGGACAGATTTCAAACTAAAAACATATTTCAAATGTTTATACTCATCATCGTTTTAACCCATATTGGAGTGTACGGGGCACCACAGTTGACCTTATGATTCTCCGCCACACATCTCGGTCCTCTGTCGCTTTGATTAGGGCAGCCCCGTCAAATCCTTGATGTCATACATCCAGTCTTGTCATTGTCTTCCCCTGGCAATATTTTTTTAGTAGTAATAGGCTGTTTGATCTTGTGACATGCCCATTCCAAATCAATATTCTTGTTTTGACTATGCTCAGTAGATACTCAAAGGGACCAGTCACATTTGGGACCCTTTTTAGACTTCTGCATTAGTTCTGTTATTTCTGTATGAGATTCATAGGAGTCTCCGTAGACATCTCTCATCTCCAGGGCCTGGATTCTTCTCTGGAGGTCTGCGTTGATGTTCCATGCCTCGCATCCATACAGGAGTACAAACACCCAGTGACTGCCTGAGTTTTAGTGCCAATAGAAGTGTTGTTATCGTGCCATATTTTTCTTTATTTACTGAGTGCTGTTGTTGTTTGGGCGCATCTTGATTGCATTTCTTTCTTCTTACCTTCATCGGATCGTATGGCGCCAAGATACTTGAGTGAATGAACTACCTCTTATCTTTGGTCATTTACACGTATGTCTGCCCCTATAGCGTTTGAGTTGTTGGTCATGAACATTGTCTTGTTGGCATTGTATTCCATGCCATATGTTGTTGATGGTCAGTCCAATCTCTTTACAAATTCTATCAACACATCCTCACTACTTGTTTGGCATCTTTGTCATTAGCGAATCGAGGGCTGGTAATAATTCGTCCGCCGTTGCTGACTGAGACGTCCGTCATGATCCTTTCTGGGGAGATATTGTAAAGGATGGGACAGAGCAAGCAGCTTTGCCTGACGCCTATGAGTGTTGTTGAAAACTATTACAATTATTTTAATATCAAATAAACCTTTCCCGTATCTGTTTAACGCACGAATGTCTAGGTATATGAAATTTAACGCAAAAATGTCTAGGTATATGAAGTTTAACGCACGAATGTCTAGGTATATGAAGCCGAGGCCACGACCCCAGTAGCTGGCGTCTAACATGACTCCTGTAGTGTGTACTTCGCTTGACCCGCCCCTGATGTACATAACGCTACAATCTCTGAGCACAATCTGTTGGCTCTTGTTAAAATATTGTACATCAAAACAATGGTTAACACATCCATCATCGGATACAACCAGCTGTTGTTGATTTTCTACAACGTTCTCTTGAACAACATCATCTCTCACAAAGCCGTACATAAAAACGTCTCTCATAAACACCACCATATACGTCTACATACATTATCTGCGACAGTTTTAATGACCAGGGCTATTGTGGTCGTCTGCTGGAGCTTCACTTGTTCACCCATACCCCATCATTTCATTATCGATCAGACCTGGAGTCGATTTGCTGGTGACGTCATAGAATTATTCAGATTCAGGTGAACAAAACTAACGATTGTTTTTCTCCACACAAAAAAAAATCGAATAATTGGTGTTGGTTTGCTGGTGTTAATTGAATTGAACTTTTTAAATAATTGATTAAAATGTAAAAAATGGAACTACGTGTTTAATTTATATATTTTTTTTTAATTCTAGAAAACTAATTGTTAGTTTATTTTTGCCTTTATACTATTTTAATTAAAGTAATTATCTAAAAAATAATGCTTTATAGACATGCGCTTATTATAAATATTTTTGATATCTCTCAAACCTCTCTTTAAAAGCTGGTAGATTTGAGGTGAATATATCAGACCTGTAGCTTACATCAGTGACAGAAGTAAGTAGCCCTCTGTGTAACAAATATATCAACTGCTACAATACAACATGATCCCCACCATAGACGAGGGTCTGATGGACGAGGACACTTACCGTCTGATTGTCCTCGTCTGTCTTGTCATCAGCGTCATCATCAGCCCTCTTGGCATCATCTTCAACATCATCAACATCGTCGTTTTCTGTAAACTTGGCTTTAAAGAGAGCACCAACATTATCCTGGTCAGTTTGGCTGTGACGGACATGTGCATGTTGCTGACCATTCTTGGCATGACCCTCAGCACAGACCTGGTTGTGACGTCAGATCGAGATATTCTCGACGCCATCACTCTCATTATTCTAGGTTGGCCCAACGTTTTAACAACCAAAATAGCGGGTTGTCTGACAACCTACCTGACCTTTGAAAGGTTTCTGTGTGTGGTCCTACCGCTGAGAGTCAAGACAATCTTACAGAAGAAAACGGCCTTGACATTTATCATAGCGCTGTGTCTATTCTCGATGGCCTACTCGGTTCCCATGTATCTGGCCAACAGCATCGGTCTGAGGTTCAACCCCATGTCAAACCAAACCTCTGTTGGACTTATCGTGGCGGAGAACAGCGACGTCCTGGAGGGTGTGTCTATTAGTGTAAATGTTATCATCGAGTTGACGTCATTCGGCCTTGTGATTGTCTTCACTATTGGCTTGACGTCTGCTTATTTAAACACAACAAAATGGCGCCGTCAGATATCTGGTGTTACTAAAAATAGTCCCTTTTCAAACCGTGACCGGAAGCTGATAAAAATGGTTCTATTAATATCAGTTGTTTTCATTGGTTGTTCGCTACCTACCGTGACAGCAGATGTCGCGATGCTATTGGTCAAAGATTACAGCATCAAAGGGCGGGAACGGGTTCTATTTATAGCAACATGCTCTATTTTTTATCGACTCATCTCTATGAATTCGTTTATCACCATTTTCATTTACTTCAACATGAGTTCTAAATTTAGAAGAGTTTTCTGTGAAATGTTTTCTTTCTTGAAGAAAACAACCACACCAGCTGCAAACGGCTAGACTTTATCTAACCGTCAAGTTTGTCAGCTGGAGGGGGGGGGGGTGACATTTTTCGTCCTATAGACCACGTCAGTCATCTTATGAAAGTTTCCCAACTTTGCAGGGTTCGAGCTCATGGTAAGCCGTTGTGCTAGCAACATTGTACCGGTGCTCATTGTGTAACCTCACTAGGTCTCTACTAGGTCGCCCTACAGTCACAGAGATTTTTTTATCTTTTAAACACTTGCTTGATGAAACAATCGCCAATCGTACAATCACAGTTAACTCAACATGTCGTGATGTGTTTAATGTGTCATGATGTTTTCAGTTTGTCATGATGCGTTCAACGTTTCATGTAATAATGCAACGTTTTTAAAACTGACAAATGTTCAAATTTTCATATCAACTTCTGATATAAATCTCTGAAATTTTATAGATAAAAGCACTGCTGCGTAATTTTAATCAATTACCATTTTTGTCTCTGTAAGAATAAGATGTAATGAACGAATGCATAGCTATGGTGTTGTTTCGTGGATTTTTTTCTTTTCATTTACAGTAACATTTGATCTGGAATGTGTTCAGTTATACGTAGATGTCTCTGTCAATAGACGATCTAACTAAATTAGCACACCCTTATCTTCATCCTACAGCTTTTAACTGTGTTGTCCCTATAGCATTTCCCTATATTATTTCAACATCCGAATTTTGGTTGCTGTCGAATCAGATTGGCTGAAGATCTCTCGCCTTGGTTCGCTTGGGTACGATTGAAATATCTCCAAAGACTCAACTTCAGTTTATGAAAATAAGCAGAAAATAAATTCAACCAATAACACCATCTCCATTTCTTACAGCCAAGACACCTGCGACAAGCATGACCTTTATCGGTTTTCTTGTAAACTTCGGTCATACATTCAGCTGTTCTCAAAATTGGCATCCCAGATGGTATACGTTGAAAACGGTCAAATGTCCATTATTTCAGTTGCAGAATGCCTACCGTTACGCCAAAAGAGGAATAAATCCGCTTTTTTTTTTTTTTACAAAACAAAAACGTGTCCTGTTCCGCCATCCCGTTTTTTGACAAAGTTTGTCCCGCTTTTTTAATAAAAAAAAACTGAATAAATAAATTAAATTGAAACAATGAGCTGGGAAAAGATTATCTCCCTTTGGCACACTTTTCCGTTTTCCTCGTTACTTACTATATTTACAAGTATCGTCTAATACTAGAGTTAGATCTACTAATATAGATAATGTGGACAATCTAGCTTCTGAACGTTCTTTTTAGTATTTGCAATTGAACTGTAGATTTAAAGTATGCCTAATATTAACATATGGGGAGTAAAATACAATAAAATCATAACTAACACTAGATCTAGATCTAGATAGTACTAGATACGACGTAACAGACTCAATAGATCTATTGTGTAAGTTGTAACTAACTACTAAGAGTTGGTAAAAAGTAACAAGGACTTATACTTGGTAGATCTAGGTCGTAAGTTATCCTAATATATAAAAGCCCATGTGCGCACTTCTCTCTCTCTCTCTCCCTCTCTCTCTCTCTCTCTCTCTCTCTGTCCGCAAAATATTTTACAAGGGTATCACATCAGAATCTTCAGCGATATATGGAGAACTTGATACGGACTTTTGTTGAAAATAATATGGTAGTTGTTTTAAATGTATAACCAACATTTTATATAAAAAAGAAAAATTAAAAATAAAGGCATATTCGAATGTAGAAAAACAGTTTTAATTATGCAACAGGAAAAGTGTTTATAGTTGTGAAAAAGAACCCACGAAACAATCATTACAATGACGTCACTAATGTTTATACACTAACTAATAACGTCATCTGCCGAGTTTAGAATAAAAAGAAATGAACTATTTCATTCAAATTTGATTTAGATCTAGATCTACGTACGCTATGAAATGTATACTATACAATTTTTCCGACCTAAACTTATAAAATGTATTTTATCTAGGCCTATTTGGAGTCAAGATCTAGAGATTCTAGATCTTGACTAGATCTATTCTCAATCTACGCAAAAACTAGACGTAGACGCTAGATTTAGACTCTATCTACTCCTGAATCTATTCCAAAAATATATTTCTATATTAAACTATTTCAGGCCTTAATTATTTTATAGAAATCTTTGTTTGTTTAGCTATGGAACTGGCTAATTTGGGATAAAAAAGTTAATTTGAAAGAATAGGCATATTCGCGTAAGTTAAGTTTTTAATACGTCTTTCATTCTCCATGTTTTATGAGGTGCCTAAATAGCTGAGATGATAGTGTACTTAATACCAAGCAGGTGGTGCGAGATCGAGACACACCAAGTCAAACTTATTTTTTTTTTTTTTGCATATGTGAATCTTCTGATTCAGTCTAAAGAAAGGAACTACTTCATTCAAATTTGATTTAGATCTAGATCTATAGATCTACTCATCAAGACGTACGCTATGAAATATATACAGTTTTATCGGTCAAACTAATACGAATTACTTAAAAACAACATAATGACCATCGAATAGCCAGATTTTTAACAGAATCATTCAAGTCACTTAATCAGTGTGTGCCTGTGTTATGTTAAATGTGTCGGATTTTTAGCTAATTAGTTATTTCTTTGCTTTGTCACTAATATCGTTCAGCGTGTAGTAAAGCATATTGCGTTTTGACCAATAACTATTTCATAAATTATTTTTCTCAAACAAGTACAACATTTTAAAATATATAGGCCTATAATTCACGTGAAAAGGGTACCGATGGCTAGTAGTTTATATTAGGCATACTGCCTAGCTTTGCTTAGGTTTTAAAATAAAGAAATTGAGAATTCTAATAATTAATTAATTGGTGATTGGCTATAATATGGAGTGCTTAGGGCCTAAGTTTAAAGAGTCTTGAGTAATTTCATGTCATGCAAACATGGGTGGAGTATTAGCAAACTGATTACCTGCAAGGTAAATTTATTATAATTTTTGTTTTATTCTATTTAGGAAGCCTTTTGTAGTTCAATTAACCTTGCGGGTAATGTTTCGCGATTAATTTTTCACAATTTCACTACAATTCATAACTTAATTGATAACGAAATATTTACTTAAACAATGCTATACTTTTTATTATTTGTTTTAGTTTAAAATATTATGAAAATTTTATTAAAATATTACTTTAATACTTCCACTGTTCAAAGACCAAATGACATAGTTTTTGTTTACGTTTTCACAAACAATTGTTTATATAAGAAATCACCACATCTGGACAAATCTAACGACCGTAAAAGGTTTTTATTTCCGACGGGAATAAAGTTTTTTGTTACCCTCAAGGGTCGGTCTACGTCCTCACAAAATATTAGGGGGATCGTTCTTCAATTTATATATATATATATATATATATATATATATATATATATATATATATATATATATATATATATAACTGATATAAGGAGAATTTCACTGGCTGTCATTTTTTAGCCCTCGTCGAGGGCTTTGAGTCTGACCAACAGTTTTCCATATGGCCTAGTCAACTATAGAGGTGCATACAAAAAATTAGCCAGATATACAGAGGTTAAGTGCCCTTAAATTTGTGTTGAAATTACCCGGTTTTTCACATAAAATACAAAATTATATAGGGAAATACGACTGGTCAGTTTTGACCGCTTTACGAAGTTTTTCCAGATATGCCGAGTTTTTTATGACACTCCTAGGCGTTCTTCTACCCCCTCACAAAATATCAAGGGGGGTCTTTCGACAGAGATTTTTTCGTTATATAGTTCAAATAAGGAGAATTTCATTCACGGTCACTTTTTAGCCCTCATCGAGGGCTTTGAGTCAAACCGACAGTTTTCCCAAACGGCCAAGCCATTTATCTATGTGCTTGCAAAAAATTAGCATGATGTACAGAGGGTAAGTACCCTTAAATCTGTGTTGAAATTACCCTCTGTTTTTCCAATAAAATACAAAGATTATATAGGGAAATACGACTGGTCAGTTTTGACCACTTTACGAAGTTTTCTCAGATATGCCGAGTTTTTTATGACACCCCTAGGCGTTCTCCTACCACCTCACAAAATATCAAGGGGGGTCGTTCGGCAAAAGTTTTTTTCCGTAATATAGCCCATATAAGGCGACAGTCAGTCGAGGTCAGTTTTGACCCCCTCTTCGTGGACTTTTCGGCCAGCCGGCACCGGCCTTCGTGTTCTGTCGCCTCAAGGCATGATCCTGCCAAATTTGAAGCGCCTGCGGTGCCGGGAAGTGCCCTATCGTGCACCCGACCACTTTGCTTTATATATATATATTACATACAAAGCCTTCAGCATTTGCTGTTCATATAGCCTATAACATAGCAAGACAGGAATAATCAAATCAATAATGTTATGTCAAAGCTATGGTTTTTTATTTGGGGGAGGGGGGGGGGTCTTAGGTTACTGGTTTACTTTTTATTTTTAAATGTAAGCTGACATTAAGCAGTATTTATAGGTAGCCTAGAGACTAGTTATATATAACTAGAAGCCTACTAATGTCATTGGCTAATTTTATTTTTTATTTTTGACTTAGTAAAGTAGCGTCCTCGCGTATGTTCCTCTATTTGGCTTCTAATTCCTCTTTTTAAGGGATCCGGACAAAAGGCCGAGATGGACAAAAGGCCGACAAGACAAAAGGCCGACTGCTGAAAGGCCGACATCCAAAAGACCGACAACTTTTATAAAACAACAAACTGCAATTACAGACATGTTTAAGTTTTATTGAAAACCAGTTACATAATGAAAAAGTAATATTACTTTCTTACATTTTGTCTTATGTCATGTGTCATCTTGCCCTACTGTGATGACGCAATGTTGCGTCGAAGCCAGGTAGATAGCAGAAATAGGCTTTAGCGTGTTAGTCAGAGGTAGACCAATGAAAATTCAGAGACTGACCGGTCACGTGGTATGGTCAGCTGACCACTGAGGCGTGGGTCAGTAGAGCGATAGGCCAGGAGTTGTTAGGTAGCGGCAGAGACGGCCGAGAATGTAGATAGTTAGGAGATCATGATTAGCTAGCGAGGTAGAAGGTGTTAGATTGAAGAATGTAGAGAACAGTTAGTGTTAGGATTGGTCATGGGAGTGCGTAGTTAGTAGTATAGTGAACAGTGCGTAGTAGTAGGTAGCATGTGGTATGAACAGTCAGTAGTAGAAGTAAATAGTACAGTGTAGATCAGTTAGGTAGAACTTGAACATATATATCATTTTAATAAAGAACAATTATAGTTGAACTTGAACTGTGTGTTATTGGATTCATTCGTTCCGCCTTCGTAAAACCCCCACCCTCACATCTGGTGGAGCGCGGGTCGAGGACAGGAAAGACAGTATATTGGTTACTCATGACGGAGTGTACTGGTGTACAGCTTTCTTAACTCAACACAACAGAGGGTTTCTTCAACCGGAACGAGTGTGGATTACCAACACAAGGGAAAAGTCAACATGTCCAAAAAGATAAGTACCTTCCAAAAAATTTTTAAACGTTTGGGTTTATACCCGTGCTGGATAGTTTGTGCCAGCGGTTTTTCTGCCTTACACATTCTATTGTTACGCACTGTTGCCTTAGTTATTTTGACTTCCTCAACACACACACATACACATACACAACCATGGAGGCAGAGTTTCAATGCTATAAACAGGGCATACCATTAGACAAAACAGGAGAAGAAGTTGAAACATTTGTAGAGAATAAGCTAGAAAACAAGATAGTCAAGATAGTAAGACATGTCAAGAACAAAAGCATAGTTAGCGATAGAATTAGTGAAACGGAAAGTACAACACATAGATAACACGCAACTGCCCTAGAACATCAACCCCATGACCAAGAATGTGACCCGGACCGTCCCCATACATGATTTTGAACAACGGACATAATACATAATAGTGAAGTCAAGTCGAGTAGTTTTGTGTTGATCTAAGTAGTCGAGAAAATCGGCGTGAAGTCGATACAGTTGAAGTCAGAAGTCAGTGTAGTCAATCTGAAGTCAATAGTGTTATTGAAGTCAGTGAAGTATAAGTCAGAACTGAAGTCAAAGAAGTTATTTGAAGTCAGTCAATGTTGTTAAAGTCGTAGTTGAGGTCATAGTGACTTAGTTGAAGTCATGTTGCAGTCATAGAAAAGTCTTTGAAGTTATATTAAAGTCGTTGAGGTCATAGTGAAGAAGTGAAATCGTCGAAGTTATAGTGAAGTCTTTGAAGTCAAAGTGAAGTATTTGAAGTCATATTGAAGTCGTTGAAGTCAAAGTGAATTATTTGAAGTCATATTGAAGTAGTTGAAGTCAAAATGAAGTCTTTGAAGTCATATTGAAGTAGTTGAAGTCAAGGAAAAGTCTTTGAAGTCAAAGTGAAGACGTTTAAGTCGTCGAAGTTCAAGTCAGTCAGTGAAGTCCTTAAAGTTGAATTGAAGTCGAAGTCAGTCAGAGGTCTATGAAGTCAGTCGATTTAGTTGTCGCAGTGAAGTTAGTCGTCAAGGTGAAATTAGTCGTCATAGTGAAGTCAGTCGAGTTACTGAAGTCAAAGTGAAATAAGCCAAGTTACTGAAGTCAGTCAATTTACTGAAGTCATGAGTGAAGTCAGTCATTAAGTCAAGCCAGCCAGTTTTTTTTTTGTCAGAAGTCAGATAGTGAGAGCTGCTCCACTATATGATTACGCATTCAAATGTTATTTGAAACGGCACGATTATTTGTATACACTTACATGTCTATTCTTTTTGTGAAGCTATTTCTAAGCTCTAGTAGTGTTTACGTCTATTGAGTTTATTAGGCTTTACAGATTGTTGTTAGATTAGAGTGTACTGATTTTTTATTTGGTTATGTTGTAATGTTTATTTTTTAATGTTTGTTGTACCGCCAGACAAATGTTCAGCACGTTTAATGGGATTGAGGTTTTTTTTTAATGGAAGGTACCTCTGTCTGAATACTTGTCTGCGCGGGCACTAAGATGGTCACGTAAAACCATTGCTCATGGTCTCGTAATACAATTTCAGACCCACCAGCGCTATTCAGAATGAGACGAGATGAAGCCGACACTTCAAAGAGTGCCGCCACCTGAAACCCTGATTACGTTGAATTACCTGGACAGCGAACAGCCCTGCCGAACGGAGAATTGCCCTGGTCAAGACAACGGACGCATCGCCACCGCTTCGCTCCCGCACTGGGGTTGAATAACAGACCGCCAGCTACGTACACCTACGTCGGCACATACAAAGGGTAGACGACCCATCGTCCAAGTTCCCAGCGTCGGAACGTTACGTCATTGTTCGCCACCGCATCGGACAGCTCCAGTTCATCGTATAACCACTCTACGTGGACGTCTCAACCAGCGTTGAGTTTGTTGCGTCATCACATTGACCAACGAAAGTTACGCCTACACCCGCCTCACGGGAATTTACATCAAAACTCGCCACAACCCACCCACCACAGAGGAACGCCAGCAATTACATAACACTTACACATACACTTACACTGCTCGCAGAGCCCGTTCAACCAGTTACACATTCTACTAAGATTAGCTCAAGGCCAGTACACGACAACCTAACCAGAACTGAGTTACACATGATTAGATTCAATCAAACCATAACATAGACATACATTATCAAGCAGAGACACCACAGACGTCAGGATACCTACACAAAAACTAGAACAATGACATTTTTTTTTTCAGGAACACAGACACAAGATTTTATGTTTTTGTAAACTGTGCTGTCCCATTTTGTATTTGATTTATATGATTGATGTTAGGGATAGAATAGAGTAGTAAGACAGATAGTTGTTGATGTATTAGATTAGTAGCAGACGCTGAAAAATATAATTTGTCAGCTACAGAAAGGGAGGGAGATATGTGATGACGCAATGTTGCGTCGAAGCCAGGTAGATAGCAGAAATAGGCTTTAGCGTGTTAGTCAGAGGTAGACCAATGAAAATTCAGAGACTGACCGGTCACGTGGTATGGTCAGCTGACCACTGAGGCGTGGGTCAGTAGAGCGATAGGCCAGGAGTTGTTAGGTAGCGGCAGAGACGGCCGAGAATGTAGATAGTTAGGAGATCATGATTAGCTAGCGAGGTAGAAGGTGTTAGATTGAAGAATGTAGAGAACAGTTAGTGTTAGGATTGGTCATGGGAGTGCGTAGTTAGTAGTATAGTGAACAGTGCGTAGTAGTAGGTAGCATGTGGTATGAACAGTCAGTAGTAGAAGTAAATAGTACAGTGTAGATCAGTTAGGTAGAACTTGAACATATATATCATTTTAATAAAGAACAATTATAGTTGAACTTGAACTGTGTGTTATTGGATTCATTCGTTCCCGCATTCGTAAAAATCCCCACCCTCACACCTACCTACCCCGACTCACCTTCAACGATTTAGACGGCATATTTTAGCGTTGTGGGTGGGTTGAATATGATCTTTTTGTGTTTGTACAATATGTAGGCAAAATTGTATTTTGTTTACTAATATTTAACAAGAAACAAAAAATTACTTACCAATTTTGGCACACTTGTATCACAATCACAACAGAATTAATCCAACAAATGTAGTATAAAATTTGTTTTATGCAAAAAAAAAAAAACGCAATGAACGAAACTTAAATATAATTCAAAGTTTGTCGGTATTTAACATGTAGTCCAGTCAAGGCACGCGATTGTTCTACTTCATTCGATTTCTTTGAATTCTTTGCGAAATATGATGGCAACACCACCTTTCTGGTTATCCTTTGTACACTCCCGTCATCTCCAGTCGCATGGACCCCATTGTTCACCTTATAGGGCTGGTAAGTAGGTCATCAACCAGTTCTACGGCTCAATAAAACCTGAGCCATAGAACTGGTTGCTGACCTACTTACCAGCACCAGGATAGCAACTAGAATTGTCTCTTGTCATTCCACTTTATTTCATGTGGGCGATGATGTCAGCGACTTTAGACTTTGTTCTTTGATGGTTGTCTCTCCACGTTGACATAGAGGGAGCTATGAAAACAGTAGTGACCGTATTTCGCAATATTAAGTTGTTGATCCTGAGTGTTTAAGACACTCCATTAATCTTCAGTCGCTTAGACCCGATGGTTCACCTTATAAGTATAGTAACTAGCATCGTCTCTTCTTTTGAACGTTTCGCCTTATTGTATGCCCTTTTTCAATGGTTGTCTAAATATGAGCTATGCAGTAACACATATTTTGCGATATTAGTATTTTTATGCTTGTCGGCTTTATGGTTTGTCGGCCTTATGGTCTGTCGGCCTTTCGGCTGTCGGCCTTATGTCCATGTCAGCCTTTTATCTTGTCGGCCTTTTGGATGCCGGCCTTTTGTCCTACACCCTCTTTTTAGGCATGACTGTTCCTACTTTTGTCTGACAGGGGTAGGCATGTCTGCAGTTGGTATACTCCTCAAATACTGGACGTGTCCAGTAGACACGCGGCTAGAACTTGTGGGCTTTAAACAAGGGTCACACCGTGCACAGGTGTAGCCATACTCAGCCCATCTCATCGTCTAAACATTCTAAACTATCCAGTCCCCCTCCCCCAACACACACACACACACACACACACACAGAGACTCCTAGTTCCCTGTAGAACGTTGACATTTTGCTACATTGACCAAGTTATAATAGGGGAGACCTATAATTATCGAAATGTAATTATCAAATTCTCGACTGAACACAATGAAATGCCTACCGGTGAAATGATAATTGCTCCACTTTCTGATTATTAATACATTCAAGCTAACCATCATCGTTAGAGTAGCGCTATTATAATTGCTCATTTACCACCTAATTATGAGATTCACAACAAACGAATTCTTACTTTTGTAACTAGGATAATGGTTAATTGTTATTAGATTGATTTATTAATATTCTACCCTGAAACTAACTAAATAATTAGTTCTTAAAATAGAAACAAAGTTTACTTATTTTACATCTAGGGAGTCATTCAGCGGTAAATTAGTGTTGTGTTTTTTGTTCGGTTTTTCTGATCCAAGTTCGATCTCTTGCGAGTCCAAACACAGAATAAAAGTCCCGCACCACACACCACACACCATCGATAAAAGCCAGGTAAGAGAAAGTGTTTACACCGACACACCACACCACACCATCGCCAGACAACAACCACAGGTAAAACAAATGGCTGGAACTGAGAACACCAGTAGCACGTCATCAGATCTTTGGCCAGAAGATCTGTACACCGCTTTGGTTAGCGCCTCGACGTATCAGATGATAGTTCTCGTCAATATAATTCTCTCTAGCATCGTCAGCCCGTTTGGTATCGTCTTTAACATCGTCAGTATCATCGTCTTCATCAAACTTGGCTTTAACGAGAGCACCAACATCTCCCTCGTCAGTCTCGCTGTGTCCGACATCGCCATTCTCCTGACGTTGGTTGGTCTAACGGTCAACAGCAACCCAATGGTTGAACAAGCAGCCGCGAGCCACGATACACTCAATGCAGTTGGCTACATTGCTCTGGGTTGGCCAAATGTTCTGGCAACCCGGATAACGGGTTGTCTGACAACCTTCTTGGCTTTTGAAAGGTTTGTGTGCGTGGCCTGGCCCCTGAAGGTGAAGACACTACTCACCAGGAAAACAGCCATCAAGTTTTCTGTCGGGTTGTACCTTCTGACAATGGCCTACGCCATCCCTGTGTTTGTAGGCAACAGCATCGGTCTGAGGTTCAACCCCATGTCAAACCAAACCTCTGTTGGACTTATCGTATCAGAGAAAAGCGACGTCCTGGAGGGCGTATCCCGAAGTATAAATATAATCATCGAGTTCACGTCCTTCACCCTTGTCACTGGGTTCACTTCCGCTCTGATATATTCCTTTAAAATCACGACAAAATGGCGAAGTCTGTTTTCTTCTGCTGCTAGAAACAACCAGCTATCACATCGTGACCGGAAGTTGGTCAAAATGGTTCTAATAATATCCATCGTTTTCATTGGTTGCTCTGTTCCTAACGTCACAGCCGATGTGGTCATACTGTTGGTCAAAGATTACAATATGGAAGGTCGTGAACGGAATCTATTTTTAGCTACCAGCGCCATGTTTTTCAATATGGTTGCCATCAACTCTAGCATGAACATTTTCATCTACCTGAAGATGAGCTCCAAGTTTAGACAGGCCTTCTTGGCCATGTTCTCTGGTAGAAAATCACCAACACAGAACACGCTGTGACCAGTACACGTCATCTTTGTTTACTGTCTTACTGTCTACAGCGATGTTTTAGAGTCACGTGACTTGTGTGGTGTAGTCATGTGCCACTTTACAAACAAACAGACGGCAGATAGATGGTCACAACTTTGTCCTGACTGGACTGTCCTTGCCATGTCTCCACCCTCACCCCGTCTTTATCACTAACTCTCTCTTAAGCTCATCTGTAGTTTGTCCGCCCCTCTACTGCACCAGCAATATATCAGTCTCGTCCAAACTCCATGTCAAACACAATAATTCAGCCACTTATACTTACGTTTTTTCTGTGCGACGCATCTCACAATGTGTGAGTATTAACTGTTTATACTAATTGTTAGTTAACCTCACAAGCTTTCTACTAGAGCGGAACTTTGGTCAATTATCCTCTATTTTAAGCCCCGTGTACAACTAACTGCAATACTTTCAATGACACGGACTAGACATTGGGTTAAAAGATCATAGAGTGGACATATTGCTTGGTGTGATGGCCTTACATTCACCATGTCCAGTGAGATTTTTTTTCCCTTTTTCCTTGAGAAATTTTTCCTTGAGATCTTTTTTCCCTGAGATATTTTGTCCCTGAGATCTTTTTTCCCTGAGATATTTTGTCCCTGAGATCTTTTTTCCCTGAGATATTTTGTCCCTGAGATGTTTTGTCCCTGATATCTTTGTCCCTGAGATGTTTTAAAATAAAACAACACAGGTACTACTCTACACTGGTGAAGCTAATTTAAAAAAAAACATATCAGGGAAAATCACGAAATTTAACTTATTTTAGTGTAAAAGTCTTGGTTTTGTGGGTGTGCAGTTGATGGTCGCTAGCCTAGATGTAGCCATACTTGTGGCTGGTCAGTAATAGAAATGTGGCCACATGTGTGGCTGGTCAGTAATTGAAAATGACCACCATCTACCACAGCCCGCGAGGGTATAAGTCAAATACAAGTTAAATATTTGTGAACACTGGTATCGATACAAAGTAATCGTGTTTTACGACCGAGGTTTATAAAGACACATTGCCTTAAGAAACGTTGACAAAGATTTGAGTCAACCAATAATTGTACTGTTCACCCTGTCATTTGGCAATTATGTGGCGACTGAGATGGTATTGTACAGATAATAGGTAGAACTTCTTGTGTCTATTCACACTACCATTAGAGCCAAGATTGATGACCAAAGACCTACTTAAGTCACGTGATAATCTTCGACTTATATCAATTTTTTTTAAAAGAGACAAAAATGAGGGTAATTAGATTTTAAAAAATGAGAGCCAGCAATTAGTTCTCCGCTTGACTGTATCAAATTAATTCCAATAATTATTTTAAATGTTTGGACCCATGGATAACTTTAATAAACATTTAAATTCAGCGTGAACATTATCAAAAACTAAAGCAATATTCATTGTAGTTTATTCTGGTTTGAAACATTTAAATTCAGCGTAAACATGATCAAAAACTAAAGCAATATTCATTGTAGTTTATTTTGGTTTGAAACATTTAAATTCAGTGTAAACATGATCAAAAACTAAATCAACATTTATTGTAGTTTATTCTGTTTTCAATCCGCCACAAGTTTCTGGAAAATGTCGGTCGATCCATCAGCTAGGAAAAAATGTATGTAGGCCAACATATCTGTGGCTAACTGTTCGTCATCATCACTACTCACTCGAACAGATGCAGTTTACTTGCTAGACTCCTCCGGTGGTGCTCTAGCCACTGGCCGTTGTGCCAATCTAGACAAAAAAAGTTTATCATTGCCGTCATTTTTAACGTCTTCCTCACTATCAAGAAACTGTAAAGCTATTTTAACTTTTTTGAGACTCCGCCATTTAACTCCAATTAGCTGTGAAGCAAGAAGAATTATTCACTGCGGTTCACACACAATTAAAAGTAGGATAGAAAAACATGAGCTATTATTTGACAGTGGAGCTATGCGAGAGAAGTCGTGGATCTTGCAAGTTTTATTTTTCCGTGATGAACACAATCTTACATCAGTTCTCAAGCAGAAATTTCTTATAATTAACGTCCTGTAATAACCAAATAATAATTGTATTTCTTAATTACCAGTCAATTTTTCTTATCTTACAGCGAGAATTGAATGCATCATCAACAACCGATTGACTGATAAAAAAACTAGCTCTAGTTCACGCAAGTTTTTATTATCAATAAACTAAATCAAACGGCACTCACAGATTGATATCAAGTCAAACGTTTAGAAAACCAAGACTTCTGAAATTTTATGAACTTTCTAAAGACACAGTTTAACAAATAAACCAACGCGTACCGAAGTAGACACCCATAGAGAGTGTAGACTGGTACAGTTGGACACTGAACTATTTGACCAAGCTGACCACACCTCTCATGCTGTCATGGCTGGTCCAGTTGTGTCATCATTTGACCAAACTGTCAGCAGTACAGAAATCAGCACGGATTCGAACCCTAGACCCTCACACACTGATGGGGGATTGATGACAGCAGACACGTACAGACAAATCGTTTCTTTCTGCCTGTTTGTCAATAGCGTCATCAGCCCTCTAGGCATCATCTTCAACATCATCAACATCGTCGTTTTCTGTAAACTTGGCTTTAAAGAGAGCACCAACATTATCCTGGTCAGTTTGGCTGTGACGGACATTTGTATTTTGATGACGTTACTGGGACTGACCGTCAACGCGAATCTGATGGCGATGGGCGGGGCCAACTTTGACTTTCTCGCTGCTGTCGCCTATTTAGTTCTGGGTTGGCCTAACGTTTTGACAACCCGAATATCAGGTTGTCTGACAACCTACCTGACCTTTGAAAGGTTTCTGTGTGTGGTCCTGCCACTGAGGGTAAAGACAATCTTACAGAAGAAAACGGCCTTGACATTTATCATAGCGCTGTGTGTGTTCACGATCGCGTACTCATTTCCCATTTTTATGACCTACAGCATCGGTCTGAGGTTCAACCCCATGTCAAACCAAACCTCTGTTGGACTTATCGTGGCGGAGAACAGTGACTTTGTCGAGGGTGTGTCTGTTAGTTTTAATTTAATCCTCGAAATTACGTCATTCATACTTGTCATAAGTTTCACTTCCGGTTTAATCTTCTCATATAAAATCACGGCAAAATGGCGAAACAAAGCCTCTGTCTCTGTCGAAAATAGCCAATTTTCAAAACGTGACAGGAAGTTGATGAAAATGGTTCTATTTATATCCATCGTTTTCATTAGCTGCTCCCTTCCTTTTGTTAGTGTGGATGTCGTCATGCTATTGGTCAAAGAATTCAACACTAAAGGGCGCGAGAGTTTTCTATTTATAGCAACATGCTCCATGTTTACTAATCTTACCTCCATTAATTCAACCGTCAACATTTTTATTTATATGAAAATTAGTTCTAAATTTAGAAACGCATTTAAGGAAAAGTTTCATTTTTACAAGCTTATATGTAACTTGCTTCCTATGTTGTGATGTCATCATAGATTTAAACGTGCGCGAAGAATTTTGAGCACTTTAAACAGATCGATTCGTTTCAAACTTGGCACGTGGACTAACATGATGACAATGCAATCTGACATAAAACTTTAGTTAATTGGATGCCTAATTAATTGTTTATGGATTAATTTTAATTTTCGAAATAATGTAGGGTTCTTACTTTTATTCCGCACTATTATACCCGCATTTTCATGTTTATTGGATGCGCAATAGTTGTTAGTGATGCACCTCTATTATATTTAAAAAAATTAAAGTGCTGAAAAAAAATCCAATTTTTTTTATTGTCACTCTTTATCTATCTATATGCTATTAAAACTCTAGTTTGTTTACATGTTTGTATATTTATTTTTTTGTTTTGTTTTTAGTTTGTTTTGTTACAGGAGAGAATCTGCACTACGTATAGAGCTGTGAAATACGTATTTAGGTTGAGGATTACTTTCTTTTTGACCAAACTGTTAATCACAAGTTTATTTAAAGACGTTAATTAATTTATTGTTATATTCATTGGTAGATATACCACTTTAATTATAAAAGTTCAGAACAATTACTTTACTTATAGTGACGTCACATGATTTATTTACTTTTTATAACAATAATGGCGGCTTCCATCGAAGCTTTTTTCGCCCATTAAAAAATTTAACGCATTATAAAGCTAATTTCCTGTCGGCTACAGCTTTAACGATATGTCCGTTTGCTATTTTTATTAGGTTCCAGCACTATTATTAATTTTCAACAGTTCTTCTGATTTGAGTATACAGTACATTTCTCTAGATCTACAGATCTGCTGTCGAAGGAAGGAAAAGTTATAGATCTAGAATCTAGGTCAAACCAAAGTTAATTAGTTAAAAATAAAAACAATTATAAAAACACGATACATTATTCAGTTTCTTTATTAAAATATTTAAGTCCTTAAATATTTGATATAAATCTTTGCTTTTTAGCTTCAACTAGACTACCGGTTATCTAGTTAGATAACTGTGGGTTTCGGGGGGTCATCCATAAAAGACATTACGTCTGCCAGCACTTTTCATCCCAAAAATAACCAGACCCCACATTCAAAAAGACGTTTTTTATATTTTAAAAACTCTACTAAACTCTACTTCACCTGCCCAGTGCCCCGCCAGTATTTAAAAAAAACGATTCCGGCCGAGCATGGCTCTGACCACACTATCACTTCATATGCTGAGAACATAGAAACAGGTGAACTCTACTTCACCTGCCCTGTGCCCCGCGAGGTCCTGATAGTCAACCTTATCATTCACATATAGGCCTTAAGAAAAAATAATTGAAAACATTGTTAATATTACTTACTATCTATCTAGATTCTAGATCTACGGAAAAACTAGAATTAAGAATAAGATAGAACTAGAGATCTAGATATTTAGCTCTATCTAGATCTAGAATCTATGTTTCTATACTAAACTATTTCAGACCTTAATTGTTTTATGTAAATCTTTGTTTAGCTACGGAATAGGCTAATTTGGGATAAAATATAATTTGAAATTATACTAGGACCTTTTCGCGTAAATAAAGTTTCTTACGCAGAATCAAAGTACAATGTAGACAAAGTACAATATAAACTATCTTTCTTGGCATGAAGAGCCTAGATAGCTAAGGTGGTGGTGTAATAGGTTATCATGCGGGTGGCACGGGTTCGAGACACATCATCTCAAAGTTTAAAAAAAATTTCAATTTTTTTTTAGATGTGAATAATAAATTTGCCTTTGGAACCTGGCGGAATACAGGGCAGGTGAAGTAGAGTTCACCTGTTTCTTTGTCCTCAGCATATAAAGGGATTGTGTGGTCAGAGCCATGCTCGGCCGAAATATTTTTTTAAACGATAAAAACATGTTGTCTAAGATTTGACGGGACACTGGGCAGGTGAAGTAGAGTTGGGTAGGTGTGTAGTTCACTTGTGCCGTCAGCATATAAAGGATAGTGTGGTCAGACCCATGCTCAGCCGAAATCTGTGTTTTAAAAGACAAAAACATGTCTGAGGCGTGACGTCTTTTTAAATGTGGGGTCTGGTTTTTTGTGATAGTAAGTAACAGTCGGGAGGGGAGGGAAAGGTTAAAAAATAATTTTAAAAAACATGACGTCATTTATGGATGTCCCTTGAAACACACGGTTATTCCAGAAAAACTGGGTAGTCTAGTAGTTATTAAAATATTAGTCTAATGTTGTATATTCAAGAAAATAATTTATTTCCTCCTTTTTAGTGCTTATTACATAAAAGCTTGTCATTAAAACGTTTTTATGCATTTTTTTGTAGGTATGTAAAATAAAACAGTTTTTTATCTATCTGTCTGTCTGTCTGTCTGTCTGTCTATCTGTCTATCTGTATATCTGTCTGTCTGTCTGTCTGTCTGTCTGTCTGTCTGTCTGTCTGTCTGTCTGTCGTCTGTCGTCTGTCTGTCTCTCTCACTATATATATATATATATATATATATATATATATATATATATATATATCAGGGTGGGGTAGTGGGTAGGTTTTCTTCACTGTTTTCTAGTGGGCACTGAAAGTTGAGTCCATACTGTGGTCTGCCTGCGGTGTCATAAGTTGATTTGAGCGTGTACTTGAATGTTACAGCCAGCAGGAGATGATCTCAAGCTGTCTACCCCTCGTTTTACTCTCATACTCACGAGACTTTAGTACCCCTCGTTTTACTCTCATACTCACAAGACTTTAGTACCCCTCGTTTTACTAAAATACTCACGAGACTTTAGTACCCCTCGTTTTACTCTCATACTCACGAGACTTTATTACCCCTCGTTTTACTCTCATACTCACGAGACTTTAGTACCCTCGTTTTCCTCTCATACTCACGAGACTTTAGTACCCCTCGTTTTACTCTCATACTCACAAGACTTTAGTACCCCTCGTTTTACTCCCATACACACGAGACTTTAGTACCCCTCGTTTTACTCTCATACTCACGAGACTTTAGTACCCCTCGTTTTACTCTCATACTCACAAGACTTTATCTTACTGTAACGTGATCAGTCTGAGTTTTAGTGTCCAATGATAGAAGATCCTGGAAGTCTGGCATTGTGTGCGAATATTGTCCCGCCAATGACAATATTTATTGAGAGCAAAGAGACATGCAAAAGGTTTAAAGTAGTGCCATGTCTTCCCATGATGAGCCCCTCTGTGTTGACCTCTCCTACCTCTGTAGTTAAGTCTCCAGTAACGGTCTAACATCTCTCTTGTGGGTGCGGTCGATAAGGACTGCAAGACTTTCAAGAATTTTTTGCTTTTCTCCTTTTACAGCATTGGTTGAATACAGGTCGTCTTCGCGAAGCTTGTATCGAATATGAATCAACCGCCAAATAAATATGTGTAAATATAACTAGAGTATGGGAGTGACATAAATGTTCGTGTTTTACTTTTAACATCAACATTTGGACAAAGCTTTGTGTAACCACATAATGAACAAGTGTATCTACTTTTTGAAATGATTGTCATGCTCCAATTACAGATGTCCCGGTAAAAATCAATTACCAGCGACTGTACGTTATTTGTTTTGATGACGACAAGACTTCGTTGTTTTTTTTCTCCCGCCCACAAATTAGAGCAACAATCAATAAATAACCATAGACCTCGTGATGTCACGTGATAGTCATTGACCTTTGACCGCTTATTTAAAAAGCACAAAGAAACAGAAGTAGGGTAGTCTTGATAAAAAAAATTAAAGCAGGCAATTAGTTCTTCGTTGACTGTGTCACATTAATTCCGTTTTTTTTTAATTTGATAAAGCCATAGATAATTTGGATAAAATTTTTAATTAAGCCAGAAAATTATAGAAAACTAGACTAACATCATTATCGTTTATGAAGTGTATTTAAATGACTAGAATATGTTGTTTTTTTTTACTTATCAAATCCTGCAACCTGTCATAAGCTTCTGAGAGATTTAAATACAACCGTCAGATAAACAGCTTTGTGTAAATGTCTGAGGCTAACCCGCCCCTCATCCACTCTACTGAGCCGAACATGACATCTAACACGACGACCACTGGTCAAGTGGGGGGACTGCTGGAAGCAGACGTCAATCAGGGTCTGATGGACGAGGGCACTTATCGTCTGATTGTCCTCGTCTGCTTCGTCATCACCGTCATCATCAGCCCTCTTGGCATCATCTTCAACATCATCAACATCGTCGTTTTCTGTAAACTTGGCTTTAAAGAGAGCACCAACATTATCCTGGTCAGTTTGGCTGTGACGGACATCTTCATCTTGCTGACCGTTATCGGCACGGCCTTCAGCTCTGACGTTATCTTCCCGTCGTTAGCTCAAAGTCTGGACATTCTTGACGCTGTTGCCTACATAGTTCTAGGCTGGCCCAACGTTGTAACAACCCGAGTAACGGGTTGTCTGACAACCTTCTTAGCTCTTGAAAGGTTTCTCTGTGTGGTACTGCCTCTGAGGGTAAAAGTAATTATGCAGAAAAACATTTCAGTTAGATTTACTATAGCGCTGTGTCTATTCTCGGTGGCCTACTCGGTTCCCATGTATCTGGCCAACAGCATCGGTCTGAGGTTCAACCCCATGTCAAACCAAACCTCTGTTGGACTTATTGTGGCGGAGAACAGCGACGTTCTGGAGGGCGTGTCTATTAGCGTCGACGTTTTCATCGAAATCACGTCATTTATTCTAGTCACAGCTTTCACTGTCGGTCTCATCTCCTCCTATTTTAGAACAACAAAATGGCGGTATCAGGCCACGGGCGCTGCTAAAGACGGTCAGATGACCAATCGTGACCGGAAGTTGGTCAAAATGGTTATTTTAGTATCCATTGTTTTCATTGGCTGTTCCTTGCCGACAGTTACTGCAGATGTTGCCATGGTGATGGTCAAAGATTTTAATGTCAAAGGTCGTGAGAGATATCTATTTTTAGCCGCGTGTGCCATATTTTATAACATCATTTCTCTGAACTCTGTCGTCAACATGTTTATCTACCTGAACATGAGTTCCAGGTTTAGGAAAACTTTTCTAGTAATCTTTTCTTTTCTAAACGAAACCCAAGAACATTGATGTCAACAAAACACTGAAAGATTGCAACAGGCAACTCTTAACTTAGTTTTATTCGTAGGTTGGGAGATATTGAGAACGTCTAATTTATACAAAAGTATTAGAACTGTTTTTTGAAGCCTCCCTTCACCCACTGGCCGAGTACATGAGAACAAGTAAGGCTATTTTCGTTGTGTTCAAGTGTGAGGGTAGTGCGGGTGGGGGTTAACGTTGGGCGGGGTCTAGTGAGTCCAGTTGGTTGTAGTTTGATCGGGTTAATAAACCTCTGTCGGTCATTAGGTTAGTCCTTAAGAGAAAAAAACGGATCTTACATGACTAAACTGACAAGCCATTGACTTTATGCGCTGTCTGTGGGCCATGGACTTTAGCCAGCATCCGGTGGGCCATGGACGTTGGTCAGCTGTCTGTGGTATCAGATTTGATTTTGTCACCAAAAATCTACCAGTCCACCAAACGAAATGATTGTGTATTGCTGGAAGCCACAGAATATTGCAAATAATTGAAGAATGTGTTTATTCGTGTGTAGTACATTCTATGATCAATTCATAAAGTGTACTTGTCTTCATGTTCTGATAAATGTCTTGAGTTAAATTATTTTCTCGTTATTTTTAATGAACTGCAACAATTGCGTTAATTGTGTGATGTAGGCTATGTCTGGGATTCTGCTTGTACCTGCAGCAGACAAGAGAGAGAGGTTAGAGCTGACATGTCATGTCGTGACATTCTAGTGACTTGACATTCAGTTAACATGGTATTCAGTGGACGTGACATTCTAGTAACTTGACATTCTAGTAACGTGACATTCTAGTAACGTGACATTCTAGTAACGTGACATTCTAGTAACGTGACATTCTAGTAACGTGACATTCTAGTAACGTGACATTCTAGTAACGTGACATTCTAGTAACGTGACATTCTAGTAACGTGACATTCTAGTAACGTGACATTCTAGTAACGTGACATTCTAGTAACGTGACATTCTAGTAACGTGACATTCTAGTAACGTGACATGTCGTGGACAGTCAGTGAATCTGACAGCTGCAAGGCTTGATATAATAAATCAGTACACTGAGATGTCTTCAAATACAAACTTACACTTTTCCCACAATGGATGTTGCACTGGACAACATTTTAACTGTTTTCTCATTTCTGCTGCAAAGAAAATTCTAAACATTGGAAACTCTTTAACCTTATTAAAGAAGAAGGAAGACGATAGCCACATGAACTATCCTAGACGTGAACACATCAACTATCCAAGACGTGAACACATCAACTATCCAAGACGTGAACACATCAACTATCCAAGACGTGAACACATCAACTATCCAAGACGTGAACACATCAGCTATCCTAGACTGGGAGCAGTCGAGACAATGAGGTTTTTGTGTTCCTGCGCTCATGTCTGAGACCTTTGTAGCGACTGCTTGTAATCAAAACATGAAGTTAACCGTGGATAATACCATCCGATTATGCAGATATATAACATGTAAGATATGTGTGGGAAACACTTCTACTAAAGACAACAGGTTTTCTGTCAGTGCGTTTAAAAGCTTCTTGTTATTTGTTTTTGATTCATGTAGCCTTAAAAACATATGAATAGAAATAGATGCTCTACAACCTCATCGGTAGCGTGTGATTTTATCAAAGTCCGAGTACATATATAGGATACTTCAATTATTTTCTAAACATTGATTAGACATCTAATTAATTGAAACTTTATATCACATTGTCATCTGGTGTGGTAAAAGTGGTCAAAATTTAGCTCGTAAATTTTGACCCTTAGATGAGATAAGTAATATAAAAAAGAGGAAAAAACACATTAAAAATCCAAAATAAAAACACAAGGAATCAAGTTTTAAAAAAGTTGAATTACACCACATTAATATTAAAGACATATAGACCTACCATGTTTTTTAAAAAAAACTAATGGAGTCGTCATCACCATACATTAAAAGAATTACAAAATCATCAACACAACGAAAATTATTCACTTATTTGCATGTTATTGTCTAGCGTCCACCTGACCTCTCCCAAGTCCAGACTGATGTAGCTGAATGTATTCACGCTACAGTCCTGCTCTAGTGGGGCTGTAAACACTGGACGTCCCAACCTCCTACAGCACATCAGCTTCTCGGCACTTCGCTTTGTGACACGACTGTACATTCCTATTTTATTCTCAGGCTATGTTATTTATCCTAGTGGAAACAACCGGACTGTACAACATCTGGTTTTACTTAACTGCCTTAACACAATGTCAGACACAAGAAGGTTCGCTGGCGTCGCAACCTGAAATTTGCAATTAACGCTATTTCTATTGCATTTAAGCTACGAACATTTTTTCTCCTGAGTTGTCAGTGTCCTTTAAATCAAAATGTGTACCTTGGTCAGTAAATGAACTGTCCACGATTGAAGACATTGCTGGCTCTTATTATATTTTGTCTGAGATTTTTTTCTGAGATATTTTGTACTTTATATTGAACTGAAATTTTTTTATTTTTTCAACCTCCAGAAAACAATTATCTCAAACTAATGAATGATATTATTTTTTTTAATTATTTCGCCTTTAGAGGTGTCAATGATTGAACTCGGAGTTGTCTCATTGTTTCAAGGTGTAGAGCATCGTACACGAATTCTGTAACTATTATCTGTAATTAAATTCATTATATTCAAATAATTACAACATGGATGCAATTATTTTAATTAGCTGATCCACCATTTTTGTGCTAGGGTAAGGCTCAGCCTGGAAACCAATACATTTTAATACGTTTTTTTTTCTTCATGGGTCGAACATTGTAATTAACACACCCTAGATAGTAGACTGCTAATTGGGCTAGTTGATTAAACAAGTATAAAATATCTAACAACACCCTATCTGGGATAATTAGATAACGATCGAGACTGGTCTCACACAAGCCGGGCTGGTATATTTTAGCAGCGCTGTATGGCGTGTCATCTTTCTCACTAACACGTGAGAAAATACTGCTCATTAATATAAAACAAAATCTGCGCCATCTCACATGTTCCTGAAGCTAGAAGAATAATTTACTTCGGTTCACACAGACAAAAGATATTTTGCAATAATGTTACAATGTTTGAGTTATGGAAGAGAAGTTCTGGATTCTGCAAGTTTTAGTTTCAATCATAAACACGATCTTGTGCCAGTGGTCAACATTTGTCTTGTAACACTTCTCATATTGCTCAGATTTAATCGGCGATAATAAGCAAATAGTTATTTAATTACCAGTTTCTAATAGCAAAAAAAAAAACTGAAGACATCACCAATAGCAGATTGATTGATAAAAAAAACTAGTTCTAGTTCACGCAAGTTTTTATTATCAATAAACTAAATCAAACGGCACTCACAGATTGATATCAAGTCAAACGTTTAGAAAACCAAGACTTCTGAAATAATATGAACTTTCTAAAGACAAAGTTTAACAAATAAACCAACGCGTACCGAAGTAGACACCCATAGAGAGTGTAGACTGGTACAGTTAGAGACTGACATAGAGAGTGTAGACTGGTACAGTTAGAGACTGACATAGAGAGTGTAGACTGGTACAGTTAGAGACTGACATAGAGAGTGTAGACTGGTACAGTTAGAGACTGACATAGAGAGTGTAGACTGGTACAGTTAGAGACAGACATAGAGAGTGTAGATTGGTACAGTTGGAGACTGAACTATTTAATCAAGTTCGCCACACCTCTCATGCTGTCATGGCTGGTCCAGTTATGTCATCATTTGACCAAACTGTCAGCAGTACGGAAATCAGCACGGATTCGAACCCAAGACCCTCACACGCTGATGTGGGATTGATGACAGCAGACACGTACAGACAAATCGTTTCTTTCTGCCTGTTTGTCAATAGCGTCATCAGCCCTCTAGGCATCATCTTCAACATCATCAACATCGTCGTCTTCTGTAAACTTGGCTTTAAAGAGAGCACCAACATTATCCTGGTCAGTTTGGCTGTGGCGGACATTTGTATTTTGATGACGTTACTGGGACTGACCGTCAACGCGAATCTGATGGCGATGGGCGGGGCCAACTTTGACATTCTCGCTGCTGTCGCCTACATAGTTCTGGGTTGGCCCAACGTTTTGACAACCCGAATATCAGGTTGTCTGACAACCTACCTAACCTTTGAAAGGTTTCTGTGTGTGGTCCTGCCACTGAGGGTCAAGACAATCTTACAGAAGAAAACAGCCTTGACATTTATCATAGCGCTGTGTCTATTCTCGGTGGCCTACTCGGTTCCCATGTATCTGGCCAACAGCATCGGTCTGAGGTTCAACCCCATGTCAAACCAAACCTCTGTTGGACTTATCGTGGCGGAGAACAGCGACGTCCTGGAGGGCGTGTCTAGAAGTATAAATATAACTGTTGAGTTGACGTCATTCATACTTGTCATAATTTTCACTTCAGGTTTAATTTATTCCTATAACATCACGGCAAGATGGCGGAACAAAGCTTCTAACATTGCCGAAAATGTATCAAAACGTGACAGAAAGCTGGTGAAAATGGTTCTGTGTATATCCATCGTTTTCATTGGTTGTTCCCTTCCTTTTGTTAGTGTGGATGTTGTCATGCTATTCGTCAAAGAATTCCACACCAATGGTCAAGAGAGTTATCTATTTATAGCAACATGCTCCATATTTTCCAATCTCAGCTCGGTGAACTCTGCCGTCAACATCTTCATCTATCTCAAAATGAGTTCTAAATTCAGAAACACGTTTAAAGAAACGTTTCATTTTTGTAAATATCGAGACGACCCCAGCGATGTGAAACACAATCACGTGACCTGTTTATTGTTTACCAAGAGCCAGTGAGGGGGAGGTGGTCGTAAGAAATAAATGAAACACGTTTTGAAGATTTGTGTGTGTCCCACTGTTTACGTAAATGTCCCCAGGTGCCCATCCACTAACACCATTTTATCAGTCAGTCTATGCCCCCTCTCGCCCATACACTGTAACCATTTTATTACTTTTGGCTGTTGGCTGTA